CCTACTCCATCATTGCCTGGTGATTAAACTGTGGGGCATAAGGGTTACAGAAGTGATGTCAATAGCTTCTGTCTTGCTGGTTAATCTGGTCAAAATGCTAAACAAACTTGTTTGTCAAAACTTGATAGCTCATGTAAATGCCTATGGTTGTCACTTACTGCAGCCATTTCTACTTGCTGCAGTCCAACTATTATTACCTAATAAGCAATGATGGGAAAAAACTTTAAGTAGCCCTGAAGGGGAAGCGTTTTGCTGCTGTAACAGCAGACAACCAGGAGCCAGTTCAAGATTCGAGGGCTACCTCTATAAGTGAATCCAAAGAGAAAGAATTAGAACTATAGTATGTGTTTTAGCTTTTTCACGCCTACTATGAGATTTTAGCTAACATTGGCTGTGTCAAGCCATAAGTGCTCAATAAACTGTACCCTAGCTTACCTTTCAAATACGATGTGGATGGGAATAATCAGAAGGAGGCCAAGGGCTGTAATAAACTAGTCGCACAGTTATGTCTCAGTCATGCTTCACCATGACTCGGTCTATATTTCTTCAGATCAAATCCACATCAGTCACATGTACTCTTGCACAAGAATTTTGCAATAAACTTTGTATTAATAGGGTTTGGTAGATCACTCATGCAAACAGTAAAAATCCTACACTTTCTATAACTAGGGATAATTTCCTTTTTAGAAGACTTCATTTTAAAGTCTGTTTTCTATGTGTGGATACTGCAATTTGTGGGGTGTTGATTAAACTGAGTAAGATGTGAGGAGAGGCTTCTTCGTTCCTGTAAGTCAGAAGCAGTGTTTCCAACTAATTCTTACAGCTTTGATAATAGAACTTGCACTCTAGTAGCTTAATCCCTTTATTGTAATCAGTAGTGGTTTTTTTTTTCCTAGCAAGATCAAAATAAGCATCTGTGTATGGGGTGAAGGGGTGAACAATTGATTCAGCAATTCTGAGAGAATGGAATGGATACATAATTTGTGAAGTTATAATAATCCAACTGCTTCTCAGTGTTGAGTATTTGATGAGGTAACAGCATTAGTGTTGAGGGTATTCAATGACTCATGAAATAATTTGAATCTTGTCCTGTGCCTCTCTGAATTCTTGTACTGGCAGGGAAGGAAGGATCTTAGGTGACTGCTCTTTCCCCACTTGCTTTTTACCTAATCCAGAGGTTGTGGTGGGCAAAGAAGAGGTCATGTTTTATTGATCAGTGTATACTGAATGTTTCATGTGTTTCAGGGTTTGGCTCTTGAATTTGGGAGGAGGAAAGACTGTATCTCCAAGCTTAAGAGCAGGGCTAGTCTTTGACAGTGCAGGACCTGCATTCCTGTATAGGTGGTACTACAGAGCAGTTGAAATATGGTGACCTCAGCACAAGTAAAGGTTGTCTGGGCTGGGCAAGTTGCTTTCAGTGGTGGAGATAATCTTTCTTGCTCTTGATGTGTAACTGTGTAGATACAGTTACTTGGGTTGATTATATCTATAGCTTTCACTGTCTTCCAAAGTCAGAAGTAAAGTGTAACTAGCAGCTGATGTCTGCAGAGGCTTCAGAACATGCAGTGAAGTGATACGTTAGTTTAAAAAAAGTTTGGTTTTTTTAGCAATAAGCAGACTTATGAGTGATTATATATTTTGCTTCTGTTCCTGGAAACTCCCAGTCCGAGCTCCCATTTTTTTTTTTGCAAAAAAAAAAGTTTGTCTTTTCACCACTTGGATATAGCCAGCAATGTCAGTCACTTAGGCTAAAGTCTTGTCACTTAAATTACTATATTGCTTTCACTCCTAATTTAATGAGCCTTTAGTATGAAGGGGAAAAATACATTATAGTTAAAACAAATACAAGATTTACTTTGGCTTTAAGCCTGAGGACAAAAGCAGAGGACCAAGTTAGAATCAAATCACCAAGTCTTCTTTTGAGTACCATTACAACTTTCTGCCTAGGGCTATTTTCTCTTCTAATGCATTTATTTGTTTTACCAAACAGTCTTTCTCCAAACTAGTTATTTCAAGGTAGTAAAAAAGCAAGTCTTCATTGCCTTTACTGTTTAAAAACTGGTGTTCATCCTCTATGATATGCACCAGCTCTTCAGTTAATGAATCCACTTTATCCTCAATTTCTGAAGGGGACAAGTAAGTGCAGGTTTCCTCTTGAAAGCTAAAAAAATGGAAAGGAATGCTTAAAATCAGACAGTAGAAATGCCACTGTTAAAGTGATATCTGCAGACTCTTCACAAGAGCAAACCAGAAAGAAAAATTTCACTCAACTAATCTGTTATGGAGAAAGTGATGGTAGCTTACAGAGAAGTGATCAGTCTTTCTGTGACATACCCTGGCATCAAATCTGATTCATCTTTTATACAATGTGCATAGATGTAGAAGGTTATGGAGGTTGGCTTTGCAGTATAAAGTGAGGTCATGATGAAGAGGTGTCATGATTTGCTTTGTATCAAACCCCCCAAATTGTTCAGTTTTTGCTGTCTTAACACAGGAGTTAATAGAACCTCCTGTCAAATCATTCTTACCGTGTCCTCCATCCAAAGTTGCCCTTTTCACAGCTGCTCGAGGCATGAAGGAAATGCTCTTTTATCTTCACAAGCAACTTGTCATTTAGTGGTTCCTCAGATTTCATATGGAGCAAGAGGTTGTTCTTCGTGTGTTATGCAATAAGCACAGAAGTAGAGAAAGCAGATCAGTGTTAATTTTAAAAGCCTTTTTATAGACTCTTTAAATAAATTTTTCATGGTACTGCTTTTTATGCTGTCTTAATGATTTACATGAAGCCAAATAATTTTTCCTGATATGAGGTTTTTCAGATGAAAATTACAGCTGCTTGTGTAGCTTTTACATTTGAACACAGTTATATTTTCTAGGTATCTATAGCTGAAGATATGGGAGCCCACTTCAACCCTTGCACGCTTTTCTCTTCAGGATGTGTGCTCTTAAAATATTAAAGCAAGCAAAATGTTTCTTAGTATTGTACTCAAAACAGTGGCTATGGCCTCCCACAGAATCACAGAATGGTTGAGGGTGGAGTGTACTGGTTTTGGCTGGGATAGAGTTAATTTTCTTCCCAGTAGCTAGTACGGGGCTATGTTTTGGATTTGTGCAGGAAACAGTGTTGATAATACAGGGATGTTTTCGTTATTGCTGAACTGTGATTACACACCTCTGGGGGTTTTGTCCAACCTCCCTGCTTAAACAGAGCCACCTAGAGCCTGTTGCTCAGGACCATGTCCGGATGCCTTTTGAATATCACTGAGGCGGGAGGATCCGTAACCTCCCTGGGCAATCTGTTCCAGTGCTTATTCACCCTCACAGTAAAAAAGTGTGTTCAGACTGAATATCCTGTGTTTCAGTTTGTGTCCATTGCCTCTTGTCATGTCACTGCGTTGCCTGGCTCCATCTCCTTTACACTCACCCTGCAGGTATTTATGTACATTGATAGGATTCCCCCTGAGTCTTCTCTAGGTTAAACAGTCCCAGCTATCTCAGCCTTTCCTCAGAGGGGAGATGCTCTAGTCCCTTAATCATCTTTGTGGCACTTTGTTGGACTCTCTCCGGTATGTCCATTTTTCTTTTGTACTGGGGAGTCCAGAACTGGACACAGTACTCCAGGCATGGCCTCACCAGTGCTGAGTGGAGTGGAAGGATCACCTACCTCCTTTGACCTTCTGGCAATAATTTGCCTAATGCAGCCCAGGATACCATTAGTCACCTTTTCAGCAAGGGCACATTGTTGGCTCATGTTCAACTTGGTGTCCACTAGGACCCTCAATCCTTTCCTACAATTCTATTTTCTAGCCGGGCAGCCTCCAGCATCTATTGGTGCATGGGGTTGTTCCTTCTGAAGTGCAGGACTTTTCACTTCCCTTTGTTGAACTTCATGAGGCTGCTGCCAGCCCACTTCTCCAGCTTGTTGAGGTCCCCCTGGATGGCAGCAGTCTCCCCTCTGAATCCCAGCTGAGTTGGCTTATGCGTAAATAGCTCAAACTGCTTGTGCTTATCCATATCCCTGAGGATGTTTAAGCGTACACCTGTTTCTGATGGTACAAATGGCCCTTCTCTTTACCAGCTCTAGTTCGAGTCATGACAGTTTTACTGTCCTTGTGCAGATGGGACAGTTAATCCTAGATCTGGGTACGCAAGGGATGGCTGAACAGGTTTTTGGCTACGTAGCTTATGATCATCTCTGTGCAGAAAGCCAATGCTGTGCCTTTCTAATACGTTAGGAGTACCTTTAAACTCAAGAGCTCTACATGATGTATAGAGCTTCTACTGACATCCCACAGGAGTCTGAACTTACCAAGCAATGATTTGGAGAGGCAGGCTCTATATGCCAGTTTAAATTG